TAGGGTCTCCCTGTCCTCGCACGCAGACAAAATGACAAGAAAAACTAAATTTACGGCGTGCGAGGTGGAGGTGCTGGTGGCGGAGGTGGAGGAGCGACAGCGTGTTTTGTTTGGCAGCCTGTCCAGTGGCGTCAGTGCAAAACAAAAACGCTTGGAGTGGGAGAAAGTTTGCGAGAGGGTGAATGCGGTGGGTTCCGAGACACGCACCCCCGCGGAGATTAAAAAACAGTGGTCGGACCTCAAGGTGGAGGTCAAGCGGCGTACAGCTGCCCTCCGGAGGAGTACCGGCCAGACAGGTGGGGGTCCGGGGGAGGAGACCCTCACACCGTTTGAGCAGCGGGTGGTGGCGATTATTATTATAGGGTAAGTGGCGTGTCACACAAATGTCCACATGCTTTGTCATCCCACTGAGCAAAAGACGTATATTAGACGTCTAGTCTAAGTTTATACTTCATTTCAACGTCGGGATTCAGTCTATTTTTAGACGTGATTAATACTTCGCCCTTAACTTCATTTTCCGATAACTTTTTATGCAATAAACAACTGTTATGTGCATAACTGACCTCGAAATACTGGATTACATTACCTATGATACCGTGGAGAGAGATGTAAACGCAACAGATACACAGAAGCAGGAATTGAAATGAACTAATATTTTTATTGTGTCACAGAAATCAATGTGTCGGCCGTGTCGCCGGCTTGCGGAACCCTGGCCCGCGGCAGCCCGTCCGCCGGCTCGGAGTCGTCGGCCAGGACCAGCGGCATTCGGGCCACCCCGGCCCCAGCACCAGCATCAGCACCAGCGCGCCGACAAGCGGTGGAGCGTCCACCAGCCGCGGCGCTTCCGCTGGACCACCCGGACGCAGTGGAAGGGTCCTCGCGGAGGGGGTCCTGCAATCGCAGGAAGAAATCATCAGGGAGATCGCGGGGATCAACGAGCGGCTGGACCGGCTCGTAAATTTCCTCGAGCGTCTGGTGGAGAAAATAAATTAATTTGGCTCATTGAACTGTGTATTCACTTCTTACCCATTCACACTGTGGCGATGAGATTCTCCCGCGCGAGGACGGCGGCCCGGCAGGGATCAGCTCGCATCCCTCCGTCTGCTGCTGGTTCGTCATGTGGGGCGACGTGCTGCCCGGCCACGGGGATGTGGTGCACGCTGGTCACATAGTGAGTCACCAAACACCGCCACACAGCGTCGCCAAAGTGCGAATCACAGTCAACGCAAATATCCAGCTCAACGCCAATTTCTACACCACCTCCTGACTTTGCGTTGATTAGCGCTGGAACCGACGCTCGTTTCGCGATGATAAATCTGGACGTGTGCGCCGATTTTGGCGTACGCAAGGTTTTCTTGCGCCGCAAGCGTTGATACATGAGGCCCCAGAACTCTTTGTGGTTGGTAGGGGATCAAATACTTATTTCACTCAATGAAATGCAAATCAATTTATATATTTTATATCATGTAATTTTCTGAAATTTCTTTTTGATATTTTGTCTCTCACTGTGAAAATAAACCTACCAAAAAAATATAGACTGTTAGTTTGTCTGTCAGTGGGCAAAATTACAAATTCAGTGGGGGATCAAATAATTATTTCCTCCACTGTAGCTAGCTGCTCTACTGGGAGCTGGTCCGCCCCTCACTCTGCACTTGGCTGCTAATGACAGAGGACACGGGAATGGCTACTGCAAACCCCCTACCGAGAGATTTACCGGAGAACGTTGCGCTGTCCATCAAGTAGGTCCTATTTGAGAGGAGAACTCTGCAGGACTAACTAAAGCTGGAAGAGCTCGGTCCGGATCGACCAGACGTCACCGCTCAGCAAGTGACCTCCGAGAAGAGCAGACAATATACGTGGACATTTTCAAGAGCATGGTAGAATAGATAGAAGAATAGAATATTCCTTTATTGATCCCCCATGGGGGAAATTTTTTTGTCACAGCAGCATCACAGACAAGGCGCGTATATGCGCAAAGCATGGCTAACTGGAAGTCTAAAGAGTAAGGCCCTTTTTTGTTTCCCTGTGTAAGTTAATGGTGACAAAAAGAAATTATAAAGCTGGTAAATTATAATTTCAGCTACTGAAACAGTCCATCAGCAAAATCTGTTTGTAGAAAAGGTAGAGTATTAAAACCTAATATAAACCATACATGTATCATTGTGAGACACTACATAAAAGCCACACTAAAAAGAAAGCTAACAGACAATGGTTATGCCACAATGTTAGAAATCAATAATTTTTAAGGCAAGATGAAAACGTCCTGGAAAAGTCCTGGAAAATGGTTTCTATAAAACAGTGGGAACCCTGTATTTGTTCACCCAGTTTCAATTCAGTTCAACTGAAACAGCAAATGTAATAAAACTGTTCTTTATTTAAAGCAAATGTTTGTGTTGTTTTCCTTTGACTGATCATATTGATGTGCAGCCTGATATGTTATAAATGTGGGTCTGCTCTTCACTGTTTTTCTGCAGTTGTCTTTGTGTGGTCCTTTGCTGTAGCCTAACCTGTTGAGATGCAGGTTAATGTACACAAGTAAGAGTATGCCACTGTCAGTTTCTTTATCATAGGATTACATTAAATGTAGGTAGGCTGTGTGTCGGCTATAATACCCTGTTAAAAAGTTGAAATACAGTATCCCCACCACATTTGTCTTTGTAGGTCAACATCGTTTCCTTAATAATTTTCTTAGTAAGCACCAGAATGCTTCATTTACCTTTTACCATTTATCTCCCGTGGAAGGATACCCCCAGACCCCCCCTACAGGGCTCTGGTTTCCAAAACTTCAGCCCCACCTATTATTTTTCTCACCAGCCGCCACTGCTGCATATAACATTCTCATAATTTAGAGCTGCTAATTTTTTTCTGGCGATGAACAACTAATAGTATGCAAGAGTCAGTCTGCCAACATGGAAAAAGATATACCAGTTGAACAGCTTTGTTATTGTTATCCAGTGATAACTGAAATCTCTATGTCACTGCAGTAATATTTCTTGGTGCATCACCAGGGTGTTACTTCTTTGTAGTGACTGTAGTATGACCATCTGCTGCTCTACATTAATCAGCTCAAACTCTGACAAAGCACTTTCCAATGCAGTCGCCATGACTTCAGTCCCTGCATGCACAGAAGAGGTGGGCTATGGTACGGTATGGTTGTTCATGCACATGCTGAAGTGTTGCACTGTGAAGCAGTGCTGTTAAGCACACCAGGCAGCTGGCCAGTGCCGTATCTGGTCTGGTAATGGTCATAAATGTTCAGCGAGAGTCAAGAGATGAGCTGCAAGCAGAGGTGAGGTCTCTATATCCAATATGTCTCATAGCAGAGTTATTAAGAACTGTAGAGGGAGGAGACAATCGCACCAGAAGAAAGACATGCATCCTGCTGAAAAAAAAAAAAGGGTGGGGGGTGGGGGGGGGGGGGGGGTATATGTTGAAATATATAATATTAATAAAGAGAGGAAGGTAAGAAAAAAACACATGTCCATTTCTTTTCCTTTCATCTCAACAGCACAGCAGTGCTGCCAGGCTGTCAGGTTTGTTCAACAAAAGCAGCAGAAAAAAACAATTCTTGGTCATTTAAAAAAGAAAATCGAACAATCAAAATGAAGAGGAATTAACAGTTAGATGGAGCAAAAATATATGCCCAAGTGAACCTGTGGTGGAGGAGGGATTGGTTGGCATTGAAGTCTCCCACAAGCTGATCAGGGATCATAGTTAACAGAAATGCATACCACAGTGATTTACAGGAGAAACAGAGAGGACTCATTATTAAAAAAAAAACAAAAAAACATTGAAAACTCATGCCTTTTCTTGCAGGATATTTCAAGGTATGGCTTATGTAATATAAAAATAAAACATTTAGCAAAACAGTGATTAAACAGCTCATGAACACTGATAAATGAGTTAATATAATATAGATAATTGTGCCCAGGCCAATGGAGTCTGGAGCACTGTGAGTGCTGGATAGTTGTGGGCTGGGCAGGGAGGAGAACACTCTAACCTGGTAATTGGCAGGTGTCTGGTGTGGATGCACCTTTATGATACAGAGCTGGAGTTTGAAAATAGGATGTTTTTTGCAATGAGGCACAGAAATGTTTTTATATTGCCTCGTTTGAATGTGTTCCAACAACATTAGTGCATGGTGACTCTCTGCTTCATAGCACGATTTGTGTTGTGTTTAACCCCATTGGCATCTTTTGTAAATTAGTCAATGTCATTTTGGCTCATTTGTAGACGTTGAGTGGGAGCCACAGCTGCACAATCCTCTTGTGAATCAAGCCTGCAGCAGTTTTATTTTGCTACTGGTTTTCTTGATAAAGCCTTGATTATAGATAGTGCTGTATCACTATATCATAGGGATGTGGCAGATTTAGCTATAAGCAGTAATTACATCTTCATTGTAGATTACCACAAGACAAAATGATAAATAACCACAGATTACCCCATATGCTGACTGTTCAGCTGATAAATGCTTGATGAGAGTCCAGTCATTCTTCTCAGATCTCTCTGTCCTCTGTATTCTACCCCTGACATGTCAGCTCCAGCAGCACACGCATCACTGCCTACCCACAATGCCGAGCACTCACTCAGTTGTCTGCTTTGCTACCTACTGTTATTTCCCCTCATCTGTCACAATTTGAGCGTTTCAGACTTCAGTGAATCACTCAGATGGTGAGGGGTGCAGATGTTTTCGACAAATGGGTCACATCCCAACAGTCTCCTCTAATCACATCATTGTCATCTAAATGGGAAGTTTCACGAATTATGAACAAACCATTGCAGAGAGCCTTTCATCCATCATAAAGAGCAGCTTTAATTGGATTTGTCGGCTTTTATTTATCTGATGGGCCTGGACTCTCATTATTTCTTCCTTTCAAAGCAAACAGATCTTGTTACCATGTTTTTGTCTGTGTGCTGCTGTGCTAATCTAGAGCTGTACTTGTTTACAAGCTGATAAAAGGACACAACTGTAATATCTCTGTTTCAAACCTTTAGTTTTTTTAAAGTGAGGTGGCAGGCTGTTTGGGCACATCATCCTTCACCTTTCCCATCTTTCTGCTGTGTAGGAAGACTCCTATCCTGCTGCCACTCTGCAGGATGACCCCTAGTTGCTGCTCTGTAGGATGACTCCTGTCCTGCTGCTTTGTAGGATGACTCCTGTCCTGCTGCTCTGTAGGATGACTCCTGTCATGCTGCTCTGTAGGATGACTCCGGTCATGCTGCCCCATAGGATGACTCCGGTCATGCTGCTCTGTAGGATAACTCCACTTTGCTGCTTTGCAGAATGACATCTCTATGCTGCTCCGTAGGATGACTCCGGTCATGCTGCTGGTCTGTAGGAGAACTCCTGTCCTGCTGCTACTCTGTTGGATGACCCCTCTTTGCTGCTCTGTAGGATGACTACTCTTTGCTGCTCTGTAGGATGACTCTTGTCCTGCTCCTGCTCTGTAGGATGACACCTCTTTGCTGCTCTGTAGGATAGCTCCTCTTTGCTTCTGCAGAATGACTCCTGTTCTTCTGCTCATGCAGGGCATGTTACTAGCATTTTACTGAGTTAAAGCCTTTTAGTCCATATACGTTCAGGCACCATATAGCAGTGCACCCTTACAGTGATGACATAAGGCTCTATTTTTGTGTCCGCCGGGGATGCGGCGGAGGGTGGCGGACCCCATGCAGTGGTATTTTCGTCTGGTGGAGCCCGGCGTACAGCCAGTTTGGTATTTTCGTGGACTGAGGCGCACCAAGGTCAGCCAAGCTGGGCGTGGTGGCATGGCAGGGGGAGGTGTTGACAGAATCAGCTGGTGCAGTGACATTTCGTGCTCGCTGGTGTGGTATAAAGTGCGCTGAAAGCTCGCAGATTCAAACCTGATCAGCTTTCAGTGCAGGCGGAGCGCAGCTGGTCTAGTGGTATTTTGGTAGACCTGTGGGACGCCCTCTGCAGCGCTTACAGCGACACTTGTTGAGGGGCTGCCTTCTGTCGCCATTGTGTGGCATTGGTGTCTTCAGACATCTCTTGATCTCTCTGGCTACTTCACAAAAATTGTAATACGCCTCGCTGGTGGTAGATTTAAAGGCGAGGAGCTGATATTATTGATCAATACAGGTCTTGGCTGTGTTAAACCCTATCCACGCCCTCTCTCCTCCCTCGCTACGACTTACGCCATTGGGAGGAGCTGAGTTAGGGAGGGGGTATACTTACGCCGGGCTGCGCCACTCACCAAAATACCAAAGTTCGCTTGGGAACACTTTGTCAGCGCGGCGGACCTGACTTATGCCGCGCCTGCACCACGTCTCTGGCGAGGCACGAAAATAGAGCCCATGAATTTAAACATTAAAATGTGATTTCAGTCACACTTAGACAGTAAAGTATTTGTGCTACTAATAGATATCTGAAGAATTCTAATGTGGAATGAGTCAAGAGAAGCGAACAAGAGCGGCGTGTCCCCTACCCAAAAGACTAAAAGCATGATTAAGCAGGACTTTTGTTCAAATGACTTCTTCTGGCTGTCTCAGTAGGCAGCTGTTTGTTCTTACATTATAATGATAGAACAATATATGTAGGATTTTAGTAGGAGTGTTGATAACCTCAGATGAGAATCACAGCATTTGATTACAAAGTCTTCAATTATGCATGATGGCTTCCCTCTACAGGTGAAACTGGCTACTGCAATGGAATTTTTCAATTGGCTGTTCTGGTATATGGTCATGTATCTGGTACACGCTGCCGTCACTGATCCCTGTATAACCATCATCTTACTCAGCAAACTGGGAGGAGTGGAATAGGAGAATGCCGTGGACCAGTAACTGTAATTAGTGATTTGATTGTTTAGTGAATGAGTTCTAAAAAAATTGACTGAGCATCATTGATTTCGTTAGCTTTATTGTTTGCTTGCTTGAGATCAGCATGAGTAACTTCTGGCTGCGACAGTACCTTTGGTCTTAATAGCTCTGTGAATTGGGCCAACCAGACCACAATCTCCTAGAGCCTGCTATACAGTTAGGCTTTTTTTTTTGACTCGTGCGCCCTGAGAGTGGCAGCAAGTCACATCAGCTCCTCACAGACTTTACGTTTTTGCCTTCTTATTGTTGTTTTTTGGCACCTTATTTATTTTTCTTTTTTTCAGCAGTGTTGTGTCTTGCATATTCCAACCATGGATGTGCATTTCATGACTCTTGCACTTTGTTTTCTTTTACTTTTCTGAGTTTTTAAGTCCGCGACCGGCGACCCATTCAGCGGCCCCATTGTTTCCAGCCGTGAACAGCTGTTGACCTCCACCCTCCTGGGAGAGACCAGACATCCCCGCTAAGCTCCGCAGGAGAAGAAGAGGATGCAGGGCTGGAGTTCAGCATTGGGCAAAGCGGAGACGTTATAAACCAACTGTCCCATCCATCATCATAGGAAACGTGAGGTCTCTCCCCAACAAGATGGAAGAGCTCACAGCGCTGACTAGGCTGCAGTGGGGATATCGCGAGTGCAGCCTCATGATGTTCACAGAGTCATGGCTGAACGAACTTACTCCGGACCCGCTCGTAACTTTGGACGGATTTCACCTCGTCAGAATGGACCGGAGCGTGAGGGAGAGTGGTAAGAAGAAAGGAGGCGGTATAGCGGTGTATGTGAATGAGAGATGGTGTAATGCTGGGCACGTCAGTATTAAAGAGCAGCTCTGCTCTAAGGACATTGAGCTGCTGGCTGTGAGTTTGAGGTCATATTACCTGCCGAGGGAGTTTTCGCACGTCATCGCGTTAACTGTTTACATCCCCCCCTCGGCTGATGCTGCTGCGGCCTGTGAACTCCTCCATAGTGAAGTGTCCAAGCTACAAACATCACACCCTCAGTCTCTGATCATCATCTCTGGAGACTTTAATCATGCATCGCTGTCCTCCACTCTCCCTATCTTCAGCCAGTGTGTAAACTGCCCAACAAGAGACAATAAAACTTTGGACTTACTGTATGCAAACACTAAGGATGCATACACTTCCTCCCCCCTCTCCCCGCTGGGCCGCTCAGATCACAACCTGGTGAGACTGCAGCCCATTTACATACCTATGGTGAAGAAACAACCCCCCACCATCAGGTATGTTAAGAGGAGGTCTGAGGAGGCCACTGAGGCGCTGCAGGACTGTTTCGAGACCACAGACTGGGATGTACTGTGCGGCCCACATGGTGATGACATCGACACCATGACAGACTGTATCACGGACTATATAAACTTCTGTGTTGAGAACACCGTACCCACCAGGAAAGTATGGTGTTTCTCCAACAGTAAACCCTGGGTGACCCCGAAACTTAAAGTCCTCCTGAAGGAGAAGAGGAGGGTCTTTAAATCTGGGGACAAGGAGGAGCTGAGGAGGGTGCAGAAGGAGCTGAAGAAGAAGATCAGAGAGGGAAAGGCCAGCTACAAGACCAAGATGGAAAACCTTTTGCAACAGAACAACGCAAGGGAGGTCTGGAGAGGCCTTAATCCATCTCAGGTCATAGCAGGGGCCATGAGAGGGGACCTGAAGCAGGAGACAGGGAGTGGGCCAACGAGCTGAATCTGATCTTCAATAGATTTGACTCTGCTCCCACTCCTCCCCCAACTCATCAAACCAACGACCCGTCTGCTGTTTCTTCTTCACACCACCTCAGTCCCATGGCACCGGCATCATCAACCCCCCTCCACTCATCCACCACCACCCCCAGCCTCTCCATAACAGCTGACCAGGTGAGAAGTGAGCTGAGGAAGATGAAGCCAAGGAAAGCCACGGGTCCTGACGGCATCAGCTCCAGACTCCTGAAGGACTGTGCAGACCAGCTCTTTGAGGTGCTACTGCACATCTTCAGCTTGAGCCTGAGTCTGGAGAGGGTCCCAACACTGTGGAAGACCTGCGTGATTCCTGTCCCCAAGACAGCACACCCCAGGGAGCCCAACCACTTCAGACCTGTGGCCCTCACTTCTCACCTGATGAAGACTCTGGAGAGGATCGTGCTGAGAAACCTCCGCCTCCTGGTGAGCTCTCATCTGGATCCTCTGCAGTTTGCGTACCAGCCGAACATCGGGGTGGACGACGCAGTCATCTACCTGCTGCAGAGGTCCATGGCCCACTTGGAGAATACCGGCAGCACTGTGAGGGTAATGTTCTTTGACTTCTCCAGTGCTTTCAACACCATCCAGCCTTCACTGCTCAGGGGGAAGCTCGAGCGGGCGGGAGTGGACTGTCACCTAGCCACATGGACCGTGGACTACCTCACCGACAGACCACAGTTTGTGAGGCTTCAGAACTGTGTATCGGACTTGGTGGTCTGCAGCACGGGGGCTCCACAGGGGACAGTGCTCTCCCCCTTCCTCTTCACCCTTTACACCTCAGACTTCAGCTACAACTCTGGGAGCTGTCACCTCCACAAGTTCTCTGATGACACAGTCATCGTCGGATGTGTATCGTCAGGGGATGAGCGGAAATACAGGACTGTCATCACTGACTTTGTCAACTGGTGTGGCACAAACCACCTCCAGCTCAACGCCAGTAAGACAAAGGAGATGGTCGTGGATTTCCGCAGGAGGGGGACTCCTCAGACTGTTCCAGTGAACATCCAGGGTCTGGACATTGAGATGGTGGAGTCCTACAGATTCCTGGGTGTCCACCTCAACAATAAATTGGACTGGTCAACAAACACAGACGCTCTCTACAAGAAGGGCCAAAGTTGTCTCCACCTGCTGAGGAGACTGAGGTCCTTTGGAGTGTGCAGGACTCTGCTCAGGACTTTCTATGACTCTGTGGTAGCATCTGCACTTTTCTATGCGGTGGTCTGCTGGGGGGCAGGGAGCACCGAGAGGGACAGGAAGAGACTGAATAGACTGGTCAGGAGGGCCAGTTCTGTCCTGGACTGTTCTTTGGACTCCCTGGAGGAGGTGGGTGAGAGGAGGATGTTAACAAAGCTTGTATCCATCATGGACAATCCCTCTCACCCACTGCATCAGACTGTGGGGGCTTTAAGCAGCTCCTTCAGCAGCAGACTTAGACTTCCACCTTGCAGGACGGAGCGCTACCGCAGGTCATTCCTCCCCTCTGCAATAAGACTTTACAACGAACTGTAATAAAACTGGACTCACACCACCACTTTTTTCTGGCATTTAAATTGTGTATATTGTAGATAGTTTTCTTTTTCTTCTCCCTTTTTCCTTTTTCTAAAATTTGTCTTAATTATTACATTTATTTAAGTTCTTAATATTAGGATCTTTATTTTTACAACTGCATTTTTGCACTCTTTGTCTGTGATGCTGCTGTGACAAAAAAATTTCCCTGATGGGGGATCAATAAAGGAATGTTCTATTCTATTCTATTCTATTCTATTCTATAATTTGGCTATGAATTTGTTGTACATGAATTACATCACAGACAATCTCTGTGCAGCCTGGTCCTGTTTTTCATTTTATTGTGACTGAGATTGGATGAAGAAAAACCTCCACTCTCTGATGAACAGAGCTGCTCAGTGGGCTCTCATTCTGACAGTGCTGAATTCAGTGTATGGTGTATGATAAGCTGGATGGAG